AAGGAAAATACCTGAATGGCATCTGCACGAGAAAAGGGGAAAGGGGAGACTGAGAGCTGAGAATTCCACTCCATCCTGTGAAAAACAAACACACCATCCTCAGAATCTATGAAGAGCAGGGAATACGTGTGTAAAACTTGCTAACACAGTGATCACAACATTCTCCTAGGAGGAAGATCTATGTGCCTTTTATAGAAAGCCACGGCTGGATAAAATAAACTAGTCCCTGGAGATGGCACTGAAAAGTCAATGTTTCCTGCCAGATGGTACAGCACACACACACAGGGCCTGTGGGAGCTCCCCCAGCTCCCAGCAGAGCTCCGTGCCCTGAGGACACCCGGGAAGAGCACGCAAGCACATCAGGGGCTTCAGTGCTGGGCAGCACTCAGGCTGATCACCAAAGAGCCTCTGCCTCCATCACAAACACTTCTTGATGCAAAACCAATTGCTACATGTACCCCTCAACCTTAAGAGAGACCAAGATACGGATCTGATTCTGTTTTTATTTTTATAGGCCAGCACAAAATGAAGTGTGAAGAGGCTGATAAAGGCACCGGTGCCATGGTTACCAGTGACATTAGATCCCTGGCTAAGCAAACTGCTGCAGGAATGATTTCTGTATAAACAGAATTACTCAATTATGTCAGCTGTGTGTCTATAAAACGTGATGCAATTGGATTTCACAGATGCAGGAGGTGGTTGGTGTTTGCTCTGCCTGCGTGGAGATGCCTCAATGAACTCTTTTGCTCTGCTCAGTGGTGACACTGTTCCACTCTGACCACACCAGCTCTGCCCTGGCTCCCAAGAGATGGACTGGCACTGAGCTGGCTGAAATTGTGGCTCTGCCATATCGTTCCAACCAAAATAAAATGTGCCAAAAAAGAGTTTAACTTTTCTCCCTCTCATGGAAAACACAGAATTTACCTTGCATGACATAGTAGAGGTGAAACAAATCTCTGGAATTCTGGAAACCTGAGTCATTCCTGTCTCTGGAATTGCAAGCATAGCACTGTACTGGTTACAGTTAGTCTGGTCTAACCAAAGGCAGGGCAGGTTGCTGGGGCTAGTCCAGCTGAGCTGTGACTACATCCAAGGATGGAGATTTCACAGCTGCTCCGGGCCCCTGTTCCATGTTTTCCCAAGCTCACTGAAGCATGATTCCATGGGGCACATTTGTAAGATAAAGCAAAGACTTATCATCTTGCTTTGCATCTGTTCCTGCTACTGCAAAGTGGAAATAGTATGATAATCATCTTTTTTAAAGTGGTCAGAGACCTGTTGATGAGAAGCATGGCAATTGTCATATCCACTTATAAATTCAAACTGAAGTCTGAGAACAGCAACAAGTTTAAATGCAAGCACGCAGAAACTGGTTTTTCCAGAAGTAGAAGGAATTTATCATGCTCCCAGATCTGATGCTCAGACCTGTAGCTGCTGCTCAAAGAGAAGAGACATTAATTTGGACTTTGGGGGTATGGCACCAGTGACATGATCCCAGGAGTGAGAATTCCAGAGATTGCAATAAAAATATATCCCTCTAATGGGGCAGAGGTTACATTCACCAAACAGAGAAGTGATCACTGGAGTAACAGCTGAGAGACAGAAATTACTGATGATATTTGATAATGCAGCAACAAAATAGATCCTCTAGGATTCCAAGGAGGAGGCAAGATCCTGCTGTGAGTCAAGCACTTGTCTTGGATGCAGGACGATATGAAGTGAGACTATAAACTAGTCACAGGTACTTGAACACTAAACTGCTCCATAAAGCTTTGACTTTAGGCATGAATAGAACAGAGCAGCTCAGCTTCCAACAGCAGCACAAAGTGCTGAGACCTGACTTTGGCTCTCAGCAAAGGTCAACAGGACAAGCTATGCCCTTGGAAAATACTGTCCTGAAAGGAAAAGTTAATCTTCTTCATGCTTGTGTTAAAGCTACACAACCCACAGGCACCTGGGAATGTCTGGGTCTCCCCTTCCTTGGTGCTCACAGGAAATGTGGGATACAACATTACCAAGGGGATGAGCAGGAGCACATTTGACAGGTTTATTCAGTTTGTATCACACCCAAACAGCAGCACTGCTGTGAGCAGCTCCTGACAGTAGCAGCACTGCAGTGGCATGGATTTTACACTCATAAATTACTCAATTGGCCTTAAGCCCTCCTTCATGCCAACATGGCATCACAAATTACAGGAGACACATCCATCAACAGCTTGTCATTAGCACAATCAAGTGGACTGTTCCTACCAGACTCTGAGATGATGGCAGAAATTGTGTCCAAACCAAAGGGGTTTTTTCCTGAGATTCTGCCTTAGAAAAGTAACTCTTGATGGTCTCAGGCTAATCCAAATATAGCTGATAAGTATCATTTGGTGGGTTTTTACATCTAGTACTCTTTCCTATCTCAGTTCACATCTCTTTACGATCCTTATCCCTTAAAAGCCTTTGATTGATGCTGTGAAAGAAAATCTCTGGAATCCTCATCTTCTCCTGGCTACTTTCAGCCACTCACAGTCAGATACCCACTGCCAATGACACTCTCAAGCTTCAGATGCTGGTCACAAATTCTGGAAATAGGCAAGTCCCAGACTCCTGCAGCCAACACACAGAATTTAACATTTACTTTACCCTGTTCCCTTGGCACATATAAACACAGCTTCTGCTTAGTCCTCCCTTGACCCATAGTCACAGCAAATAAGTTCGGCATTTCTTTTTCCTGGCACTACTGGATACAGACAATGGCAGATTTATGGGAAGATTTTTTTGAGAAAACAATTTTGTGTCATGTATTTGAAATTTTCTTACAGTGTTTTCATCACTGAGCTAAGTATGGTGGTATAAGAAAGAGGGCAAGTTCAGCTCATGAGGAGTTACAAGGGAAGATATGAGGGGGAACTGATATTCTTTCAGTAAATTCTAGCTATTTAAACACAATTTCAGGTCTGTGAGTGGATGTCAGGGAAGCAGAACAGAGCACAAAAGGGGTCACAGGAGAGCAGGGCTGACCTGCACAATCTCACACACCACTGCAAAACCAACAAATCACTGAGGCACTCAGGTCTTAAACAAAATGGTTCACAGCCCTTCTGCAACACCGAGGTGAGACTTGGAAACCAAAAGACACAATTATTCCATTCATGCTTTCATCATCCTTTTCTAAGCCATTCCCACTGCCTTGAAGAGTGAATTAAGGAGAGGAGGATTAAAGATAGAAGAATAATAAAGGGTGAGAAAAGGCAAAACATGAAAGGATAACAATGACACAAGTACTCTAATTTCACCTCTCACTAACAACTTTCATTTTTAATCCTTCACTGACTGGGAAAACACTGTGTGTATTGAAGAAAGTGCTCATTTACAATTTGTGACTATTCTAATTAAATTTTTAAAAACCCAACAATAGGGAATTCCTACCAAGTTATATTGAATGTTCAAATTAAACTGAGAAAACTCTAAGTCTTATTGTGTCTGCATCATTATCTGGATTTTCATCTGAATGGCAAAAAGCTGCAATTAATCCCTAATTTATTTTTCTTTTCCATTCTGTATGGACCAATGGGATTTAACAGCTCAGTTTTACTCCCATGCACATGATCTCTTCTGTAAAAGTGCTCCTACCTGCAAGCCCCTCAGTGAGCTCAATGCTTATTCCAACTGGTGCTACCCCAAAATCTGTAGCTCCCTGTATTGATGAGAATATTCTGTAACTGCAAAATCAGAGTGCTGAGTTTTCACTGGTGTCCTTGGTAACCCCCACAAGTGATTTCTGAAGTAAACTGTAATGGACAAAGCTGACAGGCACTTGGCACATTCCTGGTAAGTCAGAAAAGGGCAAGGAAAGGGCTTGGAAGTGTCCCCAGAAGGATGACTCTGCTGATAAATTCTCCTGTGAGGGAGGAGGCAGCCCATCACTGGGATTAGCTCCTGACCACACTGATTTGGAACATCCCAAACAAGATAAAACAGCTTCTTTCCCTCATTTCCAGCATCTTCTGATTTATGTGAGCCAAGCACCTATTAACTTGGACATGTAAAGACATGCACATGGAAAAGAATTTAGAAAAGCACACACAACCTTTTACCTTCTGAATAAAACAGAATGTGTGTGTAAACAAATTCATCTGAATTTACATCCTTCCTGCTTTGCACCTGCCCATCATGGGAGAGGGAGAGCCACAAATGTTGCTTTATTTTTCACTCCATATGGAAAGCAGTTCATGCATGTTTCTAAATACTTTTTATTTAAGACAAATATCCCCTATGCTAGCACCAGTCTGCTAAAACAGCCATTTCAACAACCACGTGTAAGATGTTCTATTCTAATGATAAGAGCAGCAACAACAGGATTTGAGGTGTCAGGATTCCAGATAATCTCTTGGCAGAACACCAGGTGGGAGTTGTGGAAAACCACACTATAAATCTGGCTGAGGTGCTAAGACATTTTAAATAGTGAATCTACTTTATCAAAGTAGCAATTGTGTCATCTCTCTTTTTCCCTTTGCTTATTTTGGGTATTTCTAATGCACTCACATAACTGCACTGAAGTGTGAGACAGTAACTGTGTATAGGACTGAGTGTGAAAAGCAATGATTTCACAACTACTTCTAATGCAGCTAAAAGCTGCGTATTAAAGAAAGTGACAACATAAATGTTTAAAGACTCTAATACAATTCAAGAAAGAACAGGAAAAAATAAAGGAAAAAAAAATCAGATGCTGTGAGACAGAGAAGTAGAAATGAAAGCAGCAGGTGTTGGTTTGAAGGCATTCTGGAGGCACCAAAACATCACCCAGCAGAGACTGAACATGGCAGGGCCAAGAAAAAGAAGCTGAAGATCTATTTTCTCACTCATGCTTTACCACTACAACAAAATAATGGGTCCTACTTGCACAACCTACATGAACTACAGACATGCTTTTCATAGAAGAACAGAAAAAGAAGGAGAGAAGGATGTTTTTCTAGGCTGATAAAAAACAGAGTTTGAAACCAGACACTTACCTACACAGCAAAATCCTCAGCTTAGAAGAAATGGGTAAGTGGTGCTGTCTCTAGTGCTCTTCTCTCATCTCCCAAGAGTAACAATTCAGAGCTCTCACATTATGGTGTGAGAAGAAGGTGCTTCCATCACTGCTGCAACTGTTCTACCGACAGGATGGAGAAAGTTCCAGTAACAGGGAAAAAAATAGGATTTCATATTAACATTTCTCTGACAGAAGCATTTACAATGCCACCTCTTGTTGGGTGAAAAAGTGTATTTATTTCTTTAGGACTTGCTGCTTCATTTCTTTGTGGAAGCTGTTCACTGTCCCATTCCACTGCACACCTGGCACATCCTCTCTGGATTTTTCTCCAGAACTGGATCCTGACAGCTCAACAAGGGAGAAAAACCATGGTCTATTGTAGTGCTTGGTAACTGCAGACACCCAAATTTCATCTCCATTTTCTCTCCAAAATGTCACAGTTCTTCACAAAAAACCCACAGAAACAGAGCACCGAGTTTTAAGCACAGAAAGCCAAGATGTGCTCCTATAAAACCCAGGCACTGAGCAGAAGCAGAGCCCATGGGGGAGCAAAAGGTTCTACTTGAAATACACAAGCATTGCTCGGCTGGTGAAGATCTGGGAATCTCCCTGCTGTTATTTCTAATATTCTAAGGAAGCTATCCAAGAAAATCATCAGGGCTTTTACATTTGCTCTGCTGTGCCCCAGGAGGAGCAGCACCACCCAAACTGGAATTTGCAAAGCTGATTCTCAGTGAGATTTTCTCTTTTTGAAAGGAAAAAAACCAAACAAATGTTCATTTTCATCAAGAAGAATCAGGACCCTCGTAAATTTGCTGCTTTTAAAATTTCCATTCATTTTTTCCCATTAAAAACCAAATCTGTGCTTTTTAACATTTTGGGCTTCTTCTGAAGTTTTCACTGGAATAAAACCCAAACTAATTGCTTGATAATCTCCAAGCCTCAAGGTCACGTTTCCTTGCACACGTACAATGAAAAATAATGAGTAAAGCGTCTAAGAAACCTTTCATTGCTGGGTACTTAGCAAAATTGATTGAAATTCAGATTTTTTTTTTGCCCACTGGCAAATTCTGATAACTCAGTATCTATTTGCATTGCAAACCAACATGAAAAATCGAAATATTCATAGACTCTGTAAAACAAAATGCATTTAACAATTTTTCCATAGAGAAAATTGACTTTTCAAAGCAATTTAAGTGCTATTTTTCCTTTCTTGGATATACCTTCTCCTGGAAGTCAGCATGGGGACATGTAGCCTTGATTTTCCCCAATGAGATATCATATGCAGTAGGGGCTTTTCCCCCCACCAATTCATGTGCTGTTTTTGTCAAAAGAAAAAAATAAAATCAGGAGTTACTTAAATCCTGAGCTTTTCCTAGCAGCATTTTGCTACTTTTTAAAATGAAGCTCTTGGGTATCAAATGAAATCTGAAGATGAAAAGAAAAATATTTACACCCTGAAGTAGCCAAGTGACCACTGATCATTAAAGTGAAAATAACCTCAAACTCAGATTTAAGTTATTACATTGGAGACTTGAAGTTAAATCTTTCCTCTCTCTCACCACAACATTACTGCTTAGTGCCGGCTTTTTCCTTAGTTTTTTTCTAGGAAAAAATCCAAAGTAAATGCAGTTTTTTACCTAAAGCAAAAAAGGAATTAACCCAAGTCTCTTGTGGATTTTGGAAAGGGAAAAACTTTCTCTTTTTTATCTTTTAAATATATTTTTAAGCCAAGTCCGTTGGGACAAGCTGCAAGCTCCAATAAATCTCCAAGTGCCTCCACAGTTCTGTATTTCACACTGCAGCTCGTGCACCCGTGTTGTGCAAAAGCCTGGGCTGTGTAAAACTCTGGATTATCCTCAGGTAGCTGGAATAATGGGAGAAGAGAAGGAACTGACCCACACATGAACCTATGAACTAAGCAGAATGTGTCACTTAATATTAAAATTAATTGCAACACGTGGCTGTGTTTAACAAAGTTAGACCATGCTGGTATCTCTGTTGGGGTGATCTGCAATGCAACACCCAAAGTCACTCACAGAAAGGTGTCAGCAGCACCAATTTAATGGGAATTGCTGCTGGAGTCACAGCAGTGCCATCCTCTGTGATGTTTGGAATATGCACGTGGACATTAATTACAGCCAGTGACTCACAACCCCAAGTGACCCTGCTCTCAAGGCTGCACAGAGCAGGCCACACGCGTCCTCATGGCGACAGCTTCACACACCACACACTAATCTGTGCTTGGAACACCACTTCTAACATGCAAAAATGAGGAAAAAGGATTTGAGACTTTTTAAAGATTTTTTTTCCTAAGGGGCCGTCAGAGAAGTGAGTGTAGCATGAGCTTTGGAGCCTACAGTGCACCCCTTTAGCCAAGCAGAATTAATGACTCTAATTAGCCCTGCTGGGGGCAGCAGTGTGAGGCAGGTATTTACACACATGGGAAAGCTGAGTTGTGCCAGAGGTTCTCCCTGGAACAAAACAGGAGGTTACCTGTGACAAGCACACAGTAATGGCAAGCTGCCTTTAGAGAAGCTTTACACTAACAGCAAATAGTGATTCTCACAGCAGGGCCATTTTTTAAACCATCTGAAAGTGCATTATGATGAAAAGCGTTGTGAGGCACTCAGAAGAGGCTGCTACTCTGTGCCTAGGACAAACAAAAGGGAAAGCAGACACTCCAGGTTGATTGCCATCATATCTGGTCTCCTTCAAGAGCCAGAAATTACCTATATTTATCCCATTTGCATCATACACGTCAGTTAATGTATAAATAGAGATGAGTGTACGGGATCTTGTGCTGAACTACACCAGTGAGTCACCAGAGAGAGGGAAGGATAATCTTTTCTCTTGCCTGTATAGGCAAGATAGTACTTACCAGCAAGTTAAAGGCAAGGTTGGGGTACAGGAAATTCTGATGAGAGACAAGGCTGGTGAAACTCAGACAGGCTCCCAGGCAATCCATGGGATCTCCTTAAATCTTGCTGCACAAGGTCCTGAGCAAACTGACTGAACTGAAGGCTGGCACTGATTGAAGCACAGACTTGGACTAGAGGCCTCTGGAAATCTTTGAAAGTTAAAGTATCCTGTGATTCTAAGAGGCAACATGGGCCAAAACAGAGAGGCAGTTCTGGGAATCCACAGCATCTGAGCTTCTACCTGGAACTGTGCTCAGAATATGTGCTTTTCTTTGAGACACAGCAACCTTTGTTTTGCTGGAAGACAGTTTTTATGATGCTCTGAGTGATAGAAGTAACATAACTATAAATCTCTCTCAGACTTAAGGGAAGTTGGGTTGTACAGGGACTGCAGAATATTGCACTAGAAGCCTTACAGGGGGTTTAGGGAATAGAGGGGTTAGGGAAAGGGAAAACACATTTCACTTGTAGCAACATCATTTAAATCCAGTTCTGGTGCTTGCATTTATCTCCAGTGCTTTCTATCATAAATCAGGTATTATTTTCCTTCTGCACAACAGTACACAATACAATCAACAGCAACATCTGGGCTCTGCTTTTCTGAATAGCACCTTCATGCAGTTATAATGTAAAATGCAGGAACTGGAATTAGAAATAAAACAGAAATGCTAATTTGACACTTGGAACTTTGTTACAGCTGCACAATTTAAAGCAATTTTAACTTTAGACTTTTGCTGTTAGGTCACATTTTTCAGTAACACCTTTTTCATCCAGAGGTGTTTTCTTAATCATCATCACGTCTGTTTTGGATGGTTTAGACTTATTTTTCCTATTCTTTTTTTACAGAAGGCCACGGGTCACTTTGAGTCAAACATTCCCCTCTATGCAATGAGTGTCCCCATAACTGTTCCCTGCCATGTTTCAGGATGAACTGAACTTCCTCCCAGTCAGGTACAGACTGACCTGCGGGGTCCCTGCTGTCTTTGCTCCATCTTTGACATCAGGCACTTGTAATAAGGCAGGCCAGAAGTTTAGGCATGGCACCAACATTTTAACTGTATTACCTTCTCCTTACCTGACCACATTTAGAAAGGGCACAAGCTGAAAAGCCTCCTTTTATCATCCCTCCTAATGCTCCTGTGTCACTGGTGCTGGTCTCTCAATGTCTGTGCAACACTTCAAGTAACACTTCTGTAAACTGCCTCTCAGTGATAAAACTGCAACAGCACCCAAAACACTAAAGGGGAAAAGTATAAACCTTTCCTGATGTCAGCTTTGTCTCCCAGACCTTTGGAAAACCACAGAGCAAGACACTTGACCTGATCTGTAACTTACCTGCAAATGCAGCTGTGAATGTGTGGTAGTGCCTGAAGAGTTCCTCGCAGAGTAAATTCTTTCTTTACAATCAGTTTATGCCACTTGTACCTCTGGGAACATCAACAAATCTCTAATTTCCCTTAGCTCAACATTACATTGATCCACTAAGACCTTTGGGAAAGCTCCCCCTTCTCATTGTATTTTTATTTTCCTGGGGAGAGGGGAGGGTTCATGGTCATAGATACACAGTTTCTCTTCCAACCCCAACTTAGGAGTCCACGGAAACACCTTGAGAAGCTCCTGCAGCCGGTGCTGCTGAGTGCCAACGCCTCCGGCCCCATGGAGCTGATGGAAAGGCTGGAGAGGGCCCAGCACTGTCCACTGACTCATCCCCTCTGCCACTGCTGCTCTCCAGCCAGGCTGGAAAAAGCCTGTGGCTTTTGGTCTTGTCCAATTCCCAGCCTCCTCCAAGAAACCTTCTTGTGTGTTCCCTGGGAGCACCCTGAAACCCTGGTGTCACAGTGCCTACAATAACACAATTTACAGCAATTCAGAAGCAAGTTAATTAGCTACAAATATATGCAAAATTCACTTCCCACATCACTGAGATTTGTGAAATGCTTGCACCCAGACTCCTGTTTTCCTATTCCTTATTCTGCCTGATTAACACACGATGCATTTACTTCTGTCTTGAGGTTAGATGTCTGAAGCTTTTCCACAGGAAATGAAAAACAATTCACATTTCTTGAGTTAACGTTCATTGTTTCACTAGAAAGAAAAAAACAACAAATATTTTGTAAGTATGAGGTCTTTTATTTCCCATGAAATCAAATAATCACCAGTACAGGCTGATGCCAAAATCTCATTTACTTCCACGGGTTTGAAGAAATTATCTAATAAATTTGGGTGAAACGCTATCTTAAGATTAATGAATGATTTACTGTTGACTTTGGGTAGCCAGAATTCTATTTTGTGTCTCTACCTGGTCAGCAAATTTGAAACAATCCCCACCTGCCACACACCAGCTAATTATGCCTTTTTTTGCTACCACTAGTTAACAGTAACTATAAATTGGAAAGATTTCCATTTAGCTTTATTTACATAATCTGGAAAAAATATTTGTAGCAGGGAAATAAAACCAGAAAGGGACCAAAGGAACAAGAAGAGAACAGGAGGAATTCACTGCGTGTCACCAGTTTTGTGACACCTCTGGACACCTCCCAGCACCAGCCCCTACACCAGGAACTAAGTGCAGCTAATGCTGCTCATGGATAACGATGGACAACACTCAGCACTTCACCAGGGGTGAAAAAATAGGTTTGTGATGTCCTCATATGAACTATACAGATATGGATTTCTGAATGGGAATTGTGAGAGGAAATCAGGCAGCTCAGTATCACACTCTGATCTAAACTTGTGATCTAAATGTGAGCTGCACCCAAAATGTTGCCCATATGTTCCTTATTCACCAAGGGATCTGAAGGAAAGGAGGTTAAGTAGCACATTCAGACAAGCTCTGGTAATTCATGTGTGAGCAGACACAAAATAAGGAGCTGCAGTTCTATGGCTGGAGGCAAAGTGGAGACAGAGAAATGGAAAGAGGGATGTGAGAGGTCCACAGCTGAATCATATCCAGTCCTCTCATCTGTTTTGCTTTTAACAGAATCCTTGGATCTGGAAATACAGTTTAATTTGCCAGTTTGTCATTAAATGCCAGCCTGTGCCAGTAACTACTACACAGAGCAGGTGAGTAACTTTGAATAGTTCTTACAAAAGAAGGCAAACATGTTACTGACAGTATCTCATACATCTCCCTCAACTGATTTTATGATACTTTCTCCTCCCATGCCTACTCCCTAAAATGAAATAAATTAGGAAAAAAAAAATTATCTATATTTAGAAAGTGTTAACGAGCCATCCTTGACTTACTGTTTTTCTGATTGACCCTAAACCTCCAACTGCTCATGTTCTGATCCATCCACACAGGTGGGAAGCCACTGTGACATTTCATTCAGGGTGGAATCATGTCAGTTTAGAACCACTGAGGATCATAAATATGATGCTAATTAAATGGGTGGGGAGTGGGGGAGACACCACACAAAAACGCCACAAAACCCTGATGATTTCTGTGAATAAACGCCCAAAATTCAAATTCCACAGCTGGAAACTGCAGAGAAGCTTCTCTGACTCCCTGCAGATTTCTTTTCAGCAGGAAGATTAATTAAGGTGGGTTGTTTTTCTTTTCTTTGCACACAGGAAATTCCCTCTGCATCTGCCACACGGAGTGATTCTTTCATTTTCAGGAACAGGAATTCAAAGGAATCCCTGAAGCATATCAGAGTTGGGTTTGTGCTAAGTATCAACCATACTTATCTTTTAAAAGATGTGATTTGTCTTATTTGAAAGATGAACACTAATTCAAGGCTTGCTATCATTTTGCCTCTGCATTGCTACGACAACTGAAGAAGTTAATGGAATACATAAAATACCGCAATAAACCCAAGTTTGCCCCACAGCATTTCAAGTTCCCTTTCTAAATTAGTTCAGGGAAACAGCAATTGGGTCACTCTCATTTTAGGTCTCCCAACAGCAAAAAGGCAGACTTCCCTGATTTTGGTAAAGAAGCCTAAATTGTTGGTTAATTAACAAAGCCATTTAACTTTAGAAATCAATCAAGTCCCAGAAGTGAATGTCAAGGTTACCTTCAGTCAAGAGCACTGTAAAGGAATAAAATAATGTTTTATCACTATCACTATGCCACAAACATGTAGAAAAATACAGGGCTTTACCCAGAACATGAAAGAAAGAATTTCAGAGGGTTAGAGTTGAAAGCAGCATTGGCAATAGCTTCAGATCTGTCATGATCAGGGCCACAGTGATTACTTTTTCTCTCTCAATCGCAAAGGGGAAAACATGCCTCTAATTTTCTTTCAGTTTTTGTTTTTAAACAAAAGAAGGGGTATTCAGGTTGAAAGCTGTACCGCTGGTTAGAAGCAGCACTAACGTTAGCCACAAAGGAGAACAAGCTTAAATAGAGTCACAGGATCTCACACACTTTTGCCAATAAAGACTTTTGAAGCACCCAGGAGAGCAAAGGCAGCCAGATACCTGAGGAATGCACAAATCCCAGGAACAAACTGGAGTGTGCAAGGAAGGGACACAAAACCTCCACAGACAGCTCTGCTGGGACTGCTGAGGTGAATGCCTCACCAAAGTGCTGCTTTTCCCTGGACAATCTTACAAAATGTTAATACTGAAAGTGCTCACCAGCACTACCCATACAGCTGTGCCAAAGGGCTCCACAAACATTGTGATCCGGGGGATAATTAACAATAACTTCTGGACACACAGAAACACACGACCTTCTCTATTCAGTACTTCTAAATTTGCTAAAGACGATTTTGTCGAAAATCGCTCCGTATCTACCGATGCTCTTCTGAGTGTCCAAGTCACACCTATATTGTTTTGGGGTTTTATTGTTATTTTTACACAAACCTCCTCAGAAGACTAAGTGGGTTCAGGGGGTTAAAATAAAGATTGAAATTTTAAGTCCTATGATAAAAGCAAGTACCATGCTCTCAAACACCAGCACAGAGGAAGGGTATGAACAGCTCCAACTTACCTGACACGCCCGGCAGACATTGATTCTCCCTCACAGGAACTTTCTCTCCCAGCTTTTCATGCAATTATGAGGGACAAAAATGCATTCCGGATACCAGGGTCTCTGGTGGTTCAAGGATCAACCCCAATTCCCAAAATATTTGCAGTACAAACAGCCAAAAGTGTCCTGGAAAGCAGCAGGGACCATGGGCACCGTGAGGGGACTCAGCGCTGGGTGTGGCCCCGGCGGCCCCTCAGCCTCACCACGGGGGTAAAATGGCGCCCTGCCCTGAGGGAAACCTTCAAAAAAATAAACACTTAGGTGTCTTATACACAATATTTTATAGAGAAAAAATCTGGGATTTTATAGAGAAAACACCTGGGATTTTCCCTGGGATTCGGCAGCAAAACCTAACGGGCTGAGGGACCACGGGCACTGTGAGGGGACCCAGCACTGGGTGTGGCCCCGACGGCCCCTCAGCCTCACCACGAGGGTAAAATGGCGCCCTGCCCTGAGGGAGGCCTTCAAAAAAATAAACACATAGGTGTCTTATACACATTGTTTTATAGGGAAAACATGTTTCTCTGGGATTTGGCAGCAGAACGTAACTGGCAGATGTGGGTGGGATAGTGAGAATGTGTGCCCTTGTCACCCTCATGGCAGTGAGGACTGGAGCCTCCTCACCTCAAGGCCTGTCCTTTCCACAACAGATGTGGACAGCGGCTAGAAAAGTGAGAAATCCAAAAGTCACTACACAACAAAGGCAGATATGCCAGGAATTTTAAACAAATAACCTCTGTGTGCATGCACCAAGAAAAACTTCAGAGAAAGGTCCCTTTAACTGCCAAATTGAGTTTTCACCAGCTCCAATTCCACAAATCCTTCTGCTGAGGGAGTCACATCCTGAGCAATATCAGGATATCATTTAAAATGTGCATTGTTTATCCCTTCTGATACATTATACATACGGCTCAGCTGTCTCTAATGCAAGAGCAATCCAAGCACAGCACTTTCAATACAAAAATTCATTAGAAAACACTCCTGGCCTCAACCAAAACAGGCCATTTTCCCTTCCTTTTGGATTTCAGAAATAACCTTATGCAAAAAAAAAAAAGTGATTACAGTTGTAATGACAAAAAAAATGAGGGGGAAATGGCAGTAAATAATGTAGTGTCTTTTCTGAGCACATCAAGGGTTTTGGAGCTTCAATATATGAAGGGTCTTTTTTACCTCAGTGAGCTGAATAATATAAGGTGTCTAAATGTAGAGAAAAAGAAAATATCATCTGTCACTGCTGTAACAGCAAGATGATAAAATTATTTCTATAGGCTGAAAACAGAAGTGCTCCTGTAAGAAATCATTGCTGGAGAATTATTTTTGGAATAGTATTCATCAAAAGTTTAAGGGGGGAAAAGAAAAAAATGTACATTGGGGGAAAGAAACATAACAAGAGAAATTAAATACTTCTAATACCTATTGAAATATAATTTCTAAACCGAATTAAAATTTTAGGAAGTTTTACACAATTAATCTGTCACATTTTTCCTTTTCCCTGTTGCATGGGTGACATAAAACATACAATGTACTAAGATAGAGATGTTATACTGACTGATACTGATTCCTTTTTTTTTATTTTAATGCCATGTAAACCAAGATTTGGGACCAACTTAGGGCCAAAAGACATTATATGAGCTCTAACGGTTCTGATCAAGCCATGCCAAAAGACTGGTTTGATTTTCCCTGGTTTCTGAACAGAATCAAGGCTGCTTCTTTCCTGTTTTGCACCACTGTGGCTGCACCTTCTTTCCCATCCAGCTCTAGACTGTGATTTTGGGCAATTTGAGAATCAGATCAAAGCATTCAGCAAAGCTGTAAGATGTCTACATGAAATCTGAAAGTGCCTTAGAGACTTAGAGACCTCGTGGAGATTTCCATTCAGCTTTCTGAATGCAATCAAGGGCTCTGTCCTCTGACCATGACTCTTTTTTCAGGTTTAAAAAGTAATGCTGTGTTTTCTGAATAAGCTTCAAATGATTAATCTGTTTGCTACAAATTATTATGTATATTAAAAAAGATAATTAGGGAGAGAAATTATTATTTTAAAAGTTAGTTTTCTTTAACTTGAGGTTTGCTAATTTTGCCTTTTACACCCCCAGCCTTCCCTTCTAAAACACTGTTAGTCTAAAGAAACTTGATCAAAGATAGATGGTCTCCATTTTTCAGCAGCTGGAAAACCTTTCTTCATTAAATTCTTTCCCTGGGAAAAAAGGACTGAAGTAATTTTGCCTAATGTTCCTGAGAACATTCCATCAGGTTGAAGTCAAATAGGAGAGATTTCAGATCCAACAATGAACGCTGAATGTGCAAATCATACATTAATCATTAATGGTTTTTAATCAGTTCTGCTTTGACAAAAATTCTCCAGCATGTACCAGGCACTCAGAGCAGCCTCTTCTCTTCCAGAGCTCCTTACTGGGATGTAGGAAACGGCACCCCATGTTCCAAAAGAAAATGAGAAACACTGGATATATTGAATGTCAGTGTGATCAAAGGGATCAGCTAAAACACTCATTGCATGATCTTTCCACTTAAATACCTTTTTGTCTGTATAACTCTCAGACAGGATTTCATCTCAATTTGCAGAGAGAGCATTTATATTTATCTAGCTAATTCAAACTGCAGATATCATTAAAAGAAATGCACTAATACTTTGTCATCATCCTGACAAATCCCCAGGGAATGGAAATGCCTCACAAAATCCTTTTGGATTAAACCCAAGGTAGGTCACTAAAGAAATCTGGCTGAAGACTCAAGCTCATGACATCACCCAAGCTCGTAGCAGCCATGTGATGAAAGGCAGCACAACACTCTGTGATAAATGTACAGCCTTTCCAAGACAGGTTTAACAACTGCTTACTTTGACAGCCTTCTGGAAGATGGACATGAGTGTGCAAAGACAACTCAAATGGGGGAAACCCTCCAAAAACCCCACAGGAAATCCAACCCTGAAGCATCAAAACACTTGAAATTCATATTCAGTTTGCTCTGTATCAGCTCTATTTTAAACCAGTCTGTGTGTTTGCATTAACAGCCAGGGTGCAAGACATAAACAGGAAAGAAGGAAGGAAGATCCAAGATAGCAGTGACTCTCCAGAAATACAAGACTGCTTCAGAAAATTCACATCTCCTAGAAAAGGTTTATGACCAGCACCAGCACTCCCGCAACAGGAGGAGATAGACAAATAATAAATAACAAATAATAAGTTAAACCTATAATAAATAGGTTTTCTCACTGTGTTCTGCTTTCTGCAAGAACTCATTTTGTCTTTCCTTGTTGTTGAGTACAGAACAGAACCATGACTGAACCTGCTTCAGAGTCCAAGGATGCAGAGGATCACTGCCACCTGCAACCAAACTGCTCTGTGTCTTCTCATCTACAGAAGGGTTCAAGGAATTTAAAAATAACCTCCTTTTTGGCTCATCAATACAAAGGTTTTTCTTTCAGCAAAAAGCATTTTCACCAGCAGCAGCCAGTCCCTGAGACTGCTACATTTAGCATCAGCAGAGATGGAAACTGGCAGCAGCAGGATTGTACAGCCCCTTCTAAAAGAAGATTGACACTAGAGAGCAAAAAGGCTCTCAGTTACTAAACCTACACAGATTACTTCATTCATGCCAAGACTCCCTTTCAGCACAGGATCACTCAGAGATTTCTATCCTGATAACATTTACTGATAAGAGCAACCTGCACTCTCCCATGCTGCCCTGATCTCACACACTAGGCTGGGCTTTAGGACTTGTACAAGATAAGTTGGTATTTGTAGGCATTATTCTGCCTTATCTGCCCTTTATTCTGCCTGCTCCCTTCCAAATGGATTTCTTATTTTTAAAAATCAATCCCAAACACTTCAGATTTATCCCTTATTTCTAAATCTGGAGCCAAACCTGGAATTGCCATCTGCAAGTTGAAACATTACTTTAAGCAAGGAATTGTCATTAATTTTTACCTGGGTTCCCATGCACTCCATGCTAATCCTGAGTTTTAAAAGAATTAGTAATCCACTCATAAATCAACCCAAACTGGAAAGCAGGAAAACAAGCAAAGTGGTGTTTTATCCTGATTTTTTTTAAAGGCTGCCAATGCTATTTCCTTGAATTTGAGATCTGGGCTGCCCACACCCTTGATGTGGAGTATTTTAGAAAGGGACAAAGAGGTCAGCACTGCATTTGAAGCACCTGGAAAGGGGAGTTTATCCTGGGGACGCTGAAAACTCCAGGCTGGAGGGGCAGCAGCCAGCGCCGCTGTCAGCAGTGCTGAATGCAGAGGTGCAAAATTAATTTTTATCTGAGACAAAGGCCAAGATATTCAGCTGTAGAAATGAATCTCCCAATGTAAACTATTTCCACTTCAAGAGCAGCCTTACTCAATTAAAGCCTGCAGTATCAGCTTCAAGTGAAGAGATCAGACGGAGGTCCCCAAGCAATTACATGAAACAAAGTCACCCTTGCAGCAGCCTCTGTAATAAAACCAGGGCTCCATTTCACACTCTTTTATTCTCAAGAGATATTTGCTAACTAGGTTTCAAAAGGAATTCAACTTTTGCAATTCACGAGCCCAGATTAAGAAATCCAGTTCATAGGTCAAAGACACAATTACCTCCATTTCACATAAATCTCCTTCCCTCACAGAAAAGTTGACAGCTTTTTTTCAAGAGCAAGTGAAAAGAATCATAGAACTGATGTATGAATTTTTTCTTATTTCTGTGACTCCTCTCCTAATTTGCCAGGCAACGAAACCCAAATTGGCTTTGAAAAAATATTCGTTCAAACCAATTTGAAAATCACTTTTTTTTAGTTTTCCAATCTGAAATTCCTGGGTTGTTGTTCTGTTGCTCTGTTTGGTGACATTTCTTACCTTCTGAAGTGGTGAAATGAAGTCCTTCAGCAGCTTTGAAGACTAAAATCCTGCAGTGACTTCAGCCTGCTCAGGTAGACTTTTACCTTATTGTCTCTAACAGATTTAAACCAAGTTTGTTACCTTGTCTGCATCCATATTTTGTAATTCTTGATGAATTTTACAGTCATCATCAGTTTATCCGTGGACTTAATTTAAACACTCACACAGGTATAAATCACTAACATAAAAAATATAGCCCTGCATCTGAAGCTGATTAATGTTTCTCTTAACACCTACTTGAACTCCTACCTAAGTTGTTGTACATTGCTGCAAAACTCTAATTTCTCCCTTTGCTGCAAGAAAGCAAAGGGATGAACTGGGCAACACTCCCTTTACAAGCTCATTGTATTGGAAATAACATGTTGAACAGCACAAGCAAAATTTCAGTTCTACTTAAAACAAATTTAAAACCCTCCCTGGCCAGAAAAATCAACTTTTTCTTACAAACCACAGCTATAAACAAGAATGAAAAAGACAATTTCCTCATCCAA